ATCAGCTTGGATGTATCTGGGGCCTTTGATAATGTGTCACACGAACGACTCATTCATAATCTCAGGGAAAAAGGAAATCCAAAGTGGATGAGCCTATACATAAAGTCCTTCCTCGAAGAAAGAACAACATCAATAATGTTGGGATCGTTCAAAGGGGACCGAATGTCAACCAACACCGAGATACCGCAAGGCTCAGCTCTCTCGCCAATACTCTTTCTCTTTTTTGTTAGCACACTTCTCCCGATGCTCGAGACAAGAACTACGACAGCAGTTGGATTCGTAGATGACACTAACATCCTGACATGGTCAAACTCGACCGAAGAAAATTGCCGAAAGTTGGAGGAAAAACACCAAGTATGTGAACAGTGGGCAAGAAGACATGGGGTCAGATTCGCGACTGAAAAGTATCAGCTGATGCACTTCTCCCGAGCCAGGAAACGACACAACCTCAAAGCGACAATTCAGTCCATTCCATTTTCAAGACATCAAGATGCCCCCAGGGAGGCGTAAAATCCCCACGACACTCGTGTCTCCTGCTCGAGTTGTCTCGCGCGCAGTCAAACGTGCGAGGCCTCGCCCTCCGCTCCCAACTGTTCAGGAGGAAGTTATCTTAGCAGCCGCAGCTGAGAAGCAACAATCTCCAGCTGAACCCATCTACATGGACTCTGAAGACGAGTTCATGGACCTCGGATTGGAAAACGAATGTCCTTCCAACTTTTCCTCTGAAAACCTTTCCCTCTCTCCAACGCCAGCTCCCGTATCGGCAACAGCTACCCAACTGCAACCGCCCAAAAATCCTCTGCGAAGAGATTCTAATCAGGGTACCTCCAGCTCCATTCACGCGTCCACCAAAGACAACGTTGCAATTGAGCAAGAACCTACTCTAACTCTCCCGCAATCTAGCGCGCGTACAACAGCGCGGATCATCGGACACCCCTCGGCAGCTATGACAAATAACATAGCCGCTTCATTGTTGGCCTGGCAAAATGCGGGAGCCCAACATCTACGTGGTCTACCGCCAACAATCGCTGCGGACCTCAAAGCTATCGTGACGTGAAGTGCAGCACGAGTCATTGCAGGCCTCCCTGTCTTCGAGCAGTCTCAAACTACTGCAAACATAAAAGTTAGCGCACAGCTAGCCCCACAACTAGAACCACCCGTAAGTTCTACTTACGCAAATGCTGCGAAGAAGAACTTGACCGTACCTGTACCCCCTCCAAAGGCTACGCCCAAGGTTACCAGTTCAAAGAAAAAACACATGCCGGACTCTAGAGTTATGATACGCCTAGCGCCCGACCACCCTCTGAGATTCCAAGATTCTCTTCTGGTCCGTACAAAGCTGAGAAGCTTTCTCGAAAAACCGGAACTAATCAAGGACATCAGGTCGGTCCCTTCTGGGATAGCCCTCGTGGCCCCCTCATCCGATCAGGCCCCCGAACTCATGCAAGCAGCCCTTGCTCTACAGCCCGCTACAGGAGTTGTGCCTATCGAAAGACAGGAAAAACGAGAGAACTTTCTTCTTAGCCCAGTACCCAAATACGGGTACAACGCTTCTGGATCTCCTGAAGCCCTTTCCGTTGCAGACATCCGGGAAGAACTTGCAGCAGCAAAAATTGATACAAAATCGATTTTTTCTATAAGCTGGACACGTAACTCTCTGGCATCCCCAGAATGGGAAGGCACTCTCCGACTGGTAGTTGCAAAGCCAGCTGCAGATAAACTCCCCTCCAGCGTCCGCCTATTTGCCCGGTCCGCCAAAATTCGACCGGCTGACAATCGCCCACGCCTCCAAGTCTGTCAGCGCTGCCATGGATTCCACAACATCAATGCCTGCACCAGGAGAGCTCGTTGCGGATTTTGTGCTTCAGACTCACACAACGGCCCATGTATGACACCGATAAAGTGTCTTAATTGTGCTGGCCCGCACGTTGCCTCTTCCACTGGATGCCCCGCAAGACCCTTCCGAGCTAACGGAGTATTTGTTCGCCCAGACAAGGAGAGAATGCGGGTAATGCGCAAGGAAGGACACAAGTCCTAGCTGGCTCTTAACCCTCCGCCTCCCGCTCCGGAACCCCCCGCTGGGTCTCCTTCCACACAACCCTCGTGCACCACGATTCCAGCTCCTGTTCTAACAATAGGCTCGGCATCTAGGTTTGCTCCCCTGATTTCCCATGAGGAGTCACTATGAGGGTCCGAGATAGGAACCGAAGAAAGCAGAAAACCCCGGGCCTCTGTTGGCACGCCTGAAGATGCCCTCGCCTTCAGAAAACGGGTTGAGCTGACGAAGCTCTTCGACGAAATCCAAAGAGCCCATCAGATATTTCCATTTGCGATCTAGCGTGGGGCTAATATTAAATGGAAGGATTTATTCTTCTTTTCTTGTTCTGCGGTTGTAATTTAAAACTACTCGTAAGAAAAAAAAGTAAAGTTCCTGGTAGAGGGAAGTTTGCTACATTTAAATTGGAAAGCAGAGTGGCGGACAGCTGGTCGGACTCTTTTGTAATTTTTACGTGCTGTAGTGCGCGCTAGAGCGTCGGGTAGTTCTGTAGGGACTGGGCCATCCAGTACGTGACAGTAGTCACGAGCTGTAGATAGGCACGACGTTAAATTCAATCAAAATCAAATCAAAGCGACAATTGAAATCCAAGGCCTTACCTCAGTCCCACAGCCTTCCCTACGAGTTCTCGGATTCTACTTTGATCCTAAGCTGTGCTGGGGAGCTCACATCAAGAGCCTTCAACTCAGGGTAGAGATGTAGGTTCAGGGTCTCAGTAGGCTAGCTCAATCAACGTGGGGAGCCACATTTCACAAGTCAAAGATACTCTACAGCACGATTGTGAGGCCCGCACTAACATACGGGTCACAGGTTTGGGCTGAGGTCGGGCCGGGTGGAAAATACCAGAGAGGATAGTAAGACCTCTCAGAAGCATACAGAGGAATTGTCTGAAAATTGTCACCGGGGCATACAAGTCCACGAGCACGAGAGTGCTGGAACACGAAACAGCCACCCTTCCGATCGAAATATTCTTGAAGCAACAAAGGCTTCAATATTCAGGTCGCACAAAGGACTTACCTGTCCAGAAGACAAAACAGTCCGCCTGTAATGAAATCAAGCTGCCCAGAAAAGGGAGAGAAGATATACGAACAGTTAACAGGAGGATAAATCTTGCCAACTGGACGGGAATGTGCGGTGAACAACAAACCAAGAAGACACACACAGAGATAGTGAAAGTTATGGCATATCAAGAGTGGGCGAAATCCTGGGCCAAGCAGAAACAAACTCAGAAGCCTCGGCAGTTAGCAACTGCAGATTCCGAAACTTGGAGAGCGGCCACATTTTACCAAAGTAGAGAGTCTGGACGGCAAAAACTGGGTTTTCAAGTTTCACCATACTTCCTACACTGTAACCTGACAAGGGCCCAAAGCAGTTTGGCAATGCAAATACGAAGTGAGCACATGGGGCTTAATTCGCATTTACACAGAGGAAAAGTACCCTGAGTACTAAGTCCAGGTTATCCATATGGCTACCAATCACAGAACCCCAAGCATATGATTATGTCCTGCCCCCGATGGTCAAATGGTAGAGCTGAGGTCTGGAGACAAGCCAAAGATCGGTCCTACGAAGGGATGATAAAGAATCCTAGAGATATAAAAAGGATAACACAGTGGATCCTAAACCATGGTTGGATAGAGCAATTCCAGATGACAAAGGCGGTCGAAATGCTGCTGAGGGAAAGGAAAAGGTCAAATAATGCTTGGGGCGGATAGAGATGATCTGGTTGGCTTACATGGATGGCACTATAGTGTAACTGCGCTTCCTGAAGAAAATATGTGAGAACTATAGACGACAAATAGAAAGATGTGTGAGGTTGTCACTATAAAGGTTTCCTCTCGGGTAAATATTATAGACTGTGGACACCTGCATGGGCCCATAGGGCGCCAAATCAAGATAATGAATTCAAATTCAAATAAAACTAAAAATAAAAATAATAAAAACTACATCTATGTGACTAGCTGAGGCCAGATAAAGTCGACGAGAGGTGTTGTGATTGGAATGAGGATGTACTTGTTCGCACTTGTGGTCTTGATGAGACTTAGGTAGAAGTCGATCTTGTTGGGAATGAAAATTTGACGTGGCGGAGTATTTTGAATAATTGCCTCGAGGGCCAATTTCTTTGATATTGCGAAATTTAATTCATGGCGTATGTGCTGGCTTTATACAACTCGTTTCCCCATGATTGCTATCTACGTGAAGATGAATACTCCTATTTATACCTGTAGCTCATCTATCTACTTGCCAGTAGATTATTTCATCTTGCGATATTGGATATTCTGCCATCTGTTATAGAATAGTCTATATTCTTGTCCATATCATCCACATGCGACTGTCTATGATATCCCTACACTAACCACGTTTTGTGTAGGTCTCTATATTATCTAATACAGTCTATCTGATTGACTAATAGAGTTCACATTATAACTATCAGGCGCTAACGTTGTGAATATGACCTGACTAGATATCACTGGCTGCAAGCACACTATCGGCTTACTAGCCATCGCAACGAGTTGCAAAAATAAAACGCTGATTCGCCAGTTACGTTCAAAATGAGCGTTATTTGATCACCTTGTCCCCATAATACTTTTCAATCCCCCAATTGAGTGTCTCGAGGCCCGCACACCTGAGCATACAAATTTAACGACCATCCGTGTATCTTATATTACATTCTCGGGTTTTAAATGCTATGTTGTTGGCTAATCTAGGTTAGCATCAGCTAAATTCAGCTGGGATTCATTATGTCGCAAGTGCTTCGACCTTTTTCAAACCTCAAGTCCTCATCACCAAGATATTGCTTAACAATTCAAGTGCTCTTAGCTGCTTCGTTGACTACCATCGAGATATTCAGCTAGTAAAGAGTAAATTTGGTAACTGGAGTTAGTTCTTGACTTGATTATCAAACCAACTCGAATTGAAACTGCTCCTTTCTTCTATCCTGTCTAGCCTATGCGAGAGTCTTACGCTTGAGAGGATTGAAGTCCTCTGATTTCCAATTTGGAGGAATAAGCAAGAACTTCTGGTCAGTAAAGCATACTATTGAAATACTCTGCTTTTCCTGAATAGTTTTTGAAGATAACCGTTTCTTTTTGCCTTCGTCAGGTTTAACGGCGACGTGTACTTTTCGTATAATATGGTGCCTGACAACAAAGCCACAAACTTCAATATGTTTGTTTATCACAATTTGGTAGGATACATTATGCGCTATAAGGAGTTTTCAGAAATTTTCTTGCAAATCGTTTGGATCAACTTACATCTTTTGTTTTGTGTCATCATTTTTTTCATTGGGGCCCTCCTCCATGGACCATCAACTAGACCGAATGTTGACTGCACATGAACAAACTCTTGCAGGGAATAGGAGAGGTAGCGGAAGGCGTCGTGTTGGATACTTACAATGTCCCACGATAAGGATCCACATCTGATGAGAGACTTATCGGGATCTAGCCTCTTCTCAGGAGTTGTACTTGTTGAGACCTCGGGTACTAATTGACAAGACTTGTGTTTTTTTTCTATATGGTCATAATAAACCACATCTGTCAGCTCACAGCTATTATTAAAAATGATTTTCTCTATAAATTTCCGTTTTTCTCCTAGATCAAACTCAGTAAATGACGGCATGTAAGAAGATATAGACTCTATAGTATGAGGGGGATTTTGGAAAGTCACCGGTTGAAGGTTTGGTATCTATTAAAGGAATGATCCATTCAAATATTAAATTTTCGACCTCCTCATCATCAATGAAAACTAGAGGCCGTCTCGCATCATTCCTCGTTGATATGAACCCATTGCATGCTGCTTCAAGAGTCTTTTCAACTTGACTGAATGATACTATTCTAGTTTTACAATAGTATCCTGGATAATCTGATAGGCTTATCCCACGTTGAAGTAATAATGCATGAGCTGAACTTAGAAGTATCAAGATCAGGGCTTTAATCAAGAGAGATTGGCCCTTGAAAGTGTAGTGTGGGAATTTCATGTTCGCTAAATGTCAAGTCGTTACTTAGGTGTGTTTGAGATGATGGTGTAGAGTAAATCAAGAGAATAATTATTCCTCAATGACTATCATCAGTGTCTTCCGCATACTAAATGCTTCTTGTCCATCTTTTGTAAAGTACTATTCGACTTTAAAATTATGGAAGGCTTGTGGTTTCTTGGCCTTCTAGATTTCGGAAACTTGGCGTCAAACCCGTCGTAGGAAATGTGACTCACAAGTCATGCTCTGTGCAAGATCGTGTTGCGCCAGTCTTCACGAAGTGAGCAACCCAAAATACAATCAGTCGTGATTAAATGTAGAATTATACACGATCATAAAATGTGTGACTATTTATCATTGTTTTCCTGTGGATTTCAAGGTCGGCAGTGAAATCTTACTACATTTGATCTGTTGATGTGGAGCAGGGAGTCTCTTGGTCAAATAATCATGTAAAATTGGCAGCGGAGAGAAGCTATTAACAAAGCTGATAAGCAACAACCCCTTACAAGAAGATCTTCGGACAAAGCAATGCTGGCAAATACTTATTCTTCACTTTCCAGTGGTGCCGGTGTAATCGCTCAGTATGCTCTACATATCTGGGGTTGCCAAGAAGAGTCGCTTCCGAATCGAAGTGGAAAGCAGCCTCATGCACATTTCTTTTTGACGACTTCTCGATAATGCCTCTCTTACCATTCTCATCGGAGTCCTCGACCTCTCTCTAGCCACGCATCATCTCGCCTCAACTACCAATAAAGGCGTCACTTCAATTGCAAACGGGAGCGTGTCCCATTCATATCCAGCCATCTACCACTACAAATTTACGACGCTATTCAAAATATGTAAATCCAGGGGTCCTCGTTTGTGGAGGACTGTTGCTCTAATGAGGAAAAAAACTTGAGGGAGAATAGGTCTCTGGAGACTTTGATGGGACCGATACTTTCGAGGGGTTTCAACTATGGAATGTTTGTGAGTGCCAAGAGCGAGATTTCGGCAAGTTAGCCAGGAAGACTCCTTGTGTCGATGAGTCAACAGCACTCCTCAGCGCCCTGGATGGCACAAAAGAAGTTCGGGTAAGGTAACACAAAGCAATCACGCTCTGTCAAGACTTTTCTCACATTTCAGCACGACCTTCGGGAAGGAGTTGGAAGGAGGCTAGAAAGGCAGAGTGTGAATTTCCCGAGGTACCCACAAGTCTGCAGCGCCCAGCTGGCCGGCCTCTTTGAACGCTTCAGAAGGGTCACTATGTCCCCGGACTTAATCCTAATGTCGGTATTAGGAGAACTCCGCAATCAGTGGGTTTTGCGATTTTTCCCGGCTGCCATACACCGGCCAATGGACATCGTATCGTTAGCTGGAGATGGGAGATAATGAAGGGCAAAGGGCTCCTCTAAGTGTATGATCGAATGAGGACTTGAGAGGGTTGGTACTGTTTGAGGGGAGCTGTATGGGCGGCATAGGAGAGGATGTACTGCTGGTACAGGTATCCTTGGCCTGTAGGCAGAGAGGACCTGCATGTCCCACATAGTCATAGACTCAGAAAAGACAATAAAATGAGTTATTTGTTAAACTATAAGAGTGTTGGTCAGGCATAACCCTCCCTCTGCCTTAACATAATAGAGTTATGGTTGTGACCATTGTTTTTTTTGCATCAGATTTTAATTGCGTATGCAGCTATCTAGCCATGACACCATATCGCAGGAAATGTACAGAAAAGATGACTCAATTTACAAGAAGAGCACTCATGCCTCGGATTTGATTTGCAAGTACCACTGCGAAGTTATGGTGGCTTTTTCTTCACCCCGAGTCAACCATCATCCTTGAGTACCCACCCAGGGGAACGTCTCAAAACCCCTGAGTTGTCCAATCATGCCTCCATCATCCATTATCTTTCCTCCGCGCGAAATATGGTCTTGGGAGTCTCCTTCCCAAGTGAAGTAGGTGCCCGGGCTACTCAGGCTAAACCAGAGAACACCACCAGGAAGCGGACCACAACACCTTCCATCGTTGTCTTTTGTTTATAGTGTCAGCTGCACTCTCGCTAGCGAAGTCTTGGCGCGGACAAAGCTCAGTTTGTAAATACTCCTTGCCAAAATTCATTATTCTAAACCTGTTGAGATTGTACCCTTCCTTTGTATCATATCGTAAACTTGTCCTTATCCCTCTCACGTCTATCCCAAAGAACTGTCTCCCAGATTTGTGCGCCACGCTTTGCTTCCTCCGTTGGGTGTAAATATCGGTGGGTGTGTATCTAGCGACCAGCTGAGGCCAGAGAAAGTCGACGAGAGGTGTTATGATTGGAATGAGGATATACTTGGTCGCACTCGTGGACTTGATGAGACTTAGGTAGGAGTCGATCTTCTTGGGAATGAAAGTTTGACGTAGTGGTGTATTTTAAATCATTGCCTCGAGGGCCAACTTCTTTGATATTGCGAAATTTAATTTAACTTAGCCTGGGAAGAATATTTCACTCCCAGGTACGTTGGGGACACCGCGCACAATTGTCCAGCCTTGCCCTTCCTGATTATTGTTTACCTAAGAGCAAAAAGGGTGAGGTTATAATTTCCTAGGATGGTACGGTGGTAAAATGTGGATATATAAAAATCATAGGTCAACAGTGTCTCTGCATTTCTGCAATATCTTATATGTAGTGAAATCCTTCAGACGGTATATGACTGTCCTCTAAAATTACAGGATGTGTCTAGTATATACAGATTTGTAGCTCAGTACGCATAATGCCTAAAGACTGGGGTACACAGGACAAATTGTAATACAATGTTTATGATCAGGTATCCTCACGGGTAAGGCGTTTGGAGATCTTATAAACCCTGTATTTGGAATTTGATTTCGTTATCCTGATTTGGCGCCCTACAGGCCCATGCAAGTGTCTACAAACTCTAATATTTACACAGGAGGAAATCTTTATGGTAAAAAACCCCCAAACCTTCCCGTTCATTGTCTATCTTTTTCTGGTTTAACGTACAGGAAGCGCAGTTACACTATAATGCCCTCTATGTTAACCAATCATATCATCTCTTTAGATCTCAAGAATGGCCTATCCTGCTCCTTTCCCTCTGCAGCATTTCGACCGCCTTTGTCATCTGGAACTACTCTATCCAACCATGGTTTAGGATCCACTGTGTTATCCTTTTTATATCTCTAGGATTCTTTATCATCCCTTCGTAGGACCGATCTTTGGCTTGTCTCCAGATCTCTCCTCTCCCATTTGACCATCGAGGGCAGGACATGATCATGTGCTCAGGGCTCTGCGATTGGTAGCTACATGGACAGCTTGGACTGTAGACTCTGGGTACTTTTCTTCTGTATAAGTGAGGTTCCTGATGGATTAGTATGTTTGAAAAGTGAGATAAACTTAGCTTTGTGATGTTTAGGGTTACGGGTGTCTCGTGGCTCCAAGCTACGAACATGTATAGTAGAGCTTAAGACTAGATGTAACTTGGTTTTCTATCAATACAGGGTATCGTCTATATAAGTACAGTATTCCTTATCTTGCGCCCGGACTCCAACGTAAACAACATTATATAAGCATTACAATTTATCAGAGCCTCATACTAATTTAGAGGTCTGTCAATCTTGGATCCTCAAAAGTACGAGTTGAGCCCCATGTGCTCACCTTGTATTTGCATCGCTAGACTGCTTTGGGCCCTTTACACTGTAATAGTAGTTTTATATTAGCGTGAAGACGAGACTGGTAGACACAAATTAGTAGGAGCATGGTCGCAGCAATTGAGATTGCTGTGAAAGCAGAGTAATATGCACGTTCTGTTAACCCTATACTTTATCGATTCTACTTTTAGTACTACTGCATTACCCGTCCAAAGGAATCATATTCTAATATAAATAATTTTAACCAGGACAGAGTAAAAAGGTTAATTGAGTGACACGACAATTTTATTCAGCCAAAACCGCCGTATCTAGTGCAAGCCAGAGACTAGCATTGAATCCAAAGACGCATGAATCTGTCCCGACGTTGTGTGGATTAAACCCTACTAGGTACACGGCGCATATAACCAAAACATTCATGAAGCCCTAGTGCCGTAAAATTTAAAAGAATTTTAGCTTTGCTCAACAGCGTAGAAATGGTAGGCCTGGTAGTTGCTGCATAGTTAGTTATTGTGCCAGTGCGGTGTATGGAGGACATTTGGTCTCAACACGACGGCTGTGTGAGTAGGACTATGCGAATTGTAGGAGATGGATCTCTTGCGGATGAATGAATGAACATTTATTCGTAACGGGCACAAGCCTTGCACTCATAGAGTATACTGCTAGAAAGAAGACGTGAATGAGGCACAGGAGGAAGTATACTACCTGAAGCATAGATACTCCTGGCCTTTAGGCAGAAAGGACCTAGATGTCCTTACACAGTTATAGACTCATTAGGACAATAAACACCCACTCATGGAGTATAGCGCAGAGAAAACATGTCCTTCGCCGACGACCTTATACAACTATAACTAATTACGACATTTGGACTACTCGTGCAGTGGATGCATTAGCTTCTACCTGCTATGGGCTAGGCCCGGTTTGTTATGGCTGGTCTGTTTAAGGCTATAGAGGCCATCCAGATCTTGTAGGCGCAAGCGAGTTTGTAAATCTACTCATTATTCGGGAGTATTTTCAGATCACGTGTCAAGGGCCAGGGGATCTGGAACGGGCATTTTAGTTGTAAAGAGCCTTAGCTACCCGCTCTTGCATTCCTCGTAGAAAATCTATACATTTAATTGTGACACTGCTTTCGTGCATTGGCCGAAAGTCTCAGCCCGTCACAATACCACTCGAGACCTTTGCGCTAGGGACTTTCACCCTTCCCCCAACCGTTATTATTAATTCATTTTATTGTCCTGTCTGAGTCTATGACTATGTGGGACATGCAGGTCCTCTCTGCCTACAGGCCAAGGATACCTATACCAGCAGTACATCCTCTCCTATGCCTCCCATGCAGCTCCCCTCAAACAGTACCAACCCTCTCAAGTCCTCATTCGATCATACACTTAGAGGAGCCCTTTGCCCTTCATTATCTCCCATCTCCAGCTAACGATACGATGTCCATTGGCCGGTGTATGGCAGCCGGGAAAAATCGCAAAACCCACTGATTGCGGAGTTCTCCTAATACCGACATTAGGATTAAGTCCGGGGACATAGTGACCCTTCTGAAGCGTTCAAAGAGGCCGGCCAGCTGGGCGCTGCAGACTTGTGGGTACCTCGGGAAATTCACACTCTGCCTTTCTAGCCTCCTTCCAACTCCTTCCCGAAGGTCGTGCTGAAATGTGAGAAAAGTCTTGACAGAGCGTGATTGCTTTGTGTTACCTTACCCGAACTTCTTTTGTGCCATCCAGGGCGCTGAGGAGTGCTGTTGACTCATCGACACAAGGAGTCTTCCTGGCTAACTTGCCGAAATCTCGCTCTTGGCACCCACAAACATTCCATAGTTGAAACCCCTCGAAAGTATCGGTCCCAGCAAAGTCTTCAGAGACCTATTCTCCCTCAAGTTCTTTTCCTCATTAGAGCAACAGTCCTCCACAAACGAGGACCCCTGGATTTACATATTTTGAATAGCGTCGTAAATTTGTAGTGGTAAATGGCTGGATATGAATGGGACACGCTCCCGTTTGCAATTGAAGTGACGCCTTTATTGGTAGTTGAGGCGAGATAATGCGTGGCTAGAGAGAGGTTGAGGACTCCGATGAGAATGGTAAGAGAGGCATTATCGAGAAGTCGTCAAATGGAAACGTGCTTGAGGTTGTTCTACACTTTGATTCGGATGCGACTCTTCTTGGCAACCCCAGATATGTAGAGCATACTGATCGATTACAGCGGTATAACTGGAAGTTGAAGAATTCCTCTTTACCGGCTCGTGGCAATTGATTCGTAGCAGTCAGGGTAGGTGGGAGAGTCATGCGGTCTTTAACCCTATTTCATGTTAATATCTTCACCGTCTGGCCTCGCCGCTAGAATTCAATGACTCGGCTGTCAAGGCAGTGATTATTTGAGGGAGAAGATTCGACACGGCCATTACACATCTAACGGAGGATGTTGCCGATTTAGGCCTCATGATAGAAGTCGGCGTCCAGCTATCATAATAATTTTTGGTAAGGCATTTCAGTTGCTTACGCAGCTGTCTGGCTACGACACCATATCAGAGACAAAGCACAGGATAGATGATTCAATATACTGTGAGAAAACTGATGGCTCGGATTATATTTGCAAGTATCACTGCGAAGTTGTGGTGACTTTTTCTTCCCCCCAAGTCAAGCCTCGTCCGTGGATACCGACACAAGGCTATCTGGCCACAGCTACCAGTCATGTGGCTTTCGCGAATGAAAAGTATCAATTGTTTATCATCCAAACTGATTCTCATCTCGCACACCTACCCCGTCATGTGTAGTTTTAAATTTTATATCGACGGCGAGACACTTCTCCTGCCCGCGATGGCATGGTGGCCGGTAACGGATCTGGGAATCTGTCGGACAAGCAGCGGGCGGCGGCCAAGAGACGCGGGACCCGCCTCTCGCCCCACTACAAGGTGCAGAGGGCGAGCGGCGACGAGAGCCGGCGCCGGCTAGGATTCCTAGTCGGATCTAGGTCGATCAGAGGAGCCCGTATTACCCAAGCACGGCGAAGATGCGTCGAACTCGCCGCTCCCAACAAATTGGCCGCCACACAGTGCGTGCCCCGCCATCCTCTCAACAAGCCGTGGCCCGGGAGGCGGATTCAGCTCCACTTCCGACGAGCCCTGGTGCTAATCCTCGCCCCTAAGTCGGATGAGAGCTGCAAATAATATCTATCAGGGCCCTCCCGGCGAGTCCATGAGCCTCGACGCTAGCGCTGAGCCGGAAGCTTCTCGGCTCCAGAAGCCGCGTCGCATATATCCCGGTATTCGCCCTGGGTTCACGTGATTACAGACACCACCAGACGAGGATTAGCCTTCTTGCTGCGGAATCAGCCTTGGCGTTGACAGCGCCCTTTACACTCACTAGTTCTACCCACTGCAGCTGAAGTAGATGAGGACTATTTCAGCGCCAGCTGCATCGTTATTGCTGTCCCTTCCAACTGCCGTACACCTCGCAATTTTCATCAACCCCGTCTTTGCGCCGACTGCACTTTGTCCGGGGCGCCGGGAACTTGCCTGCACCTGTGGCCCTGGCAGGTCCGGCGCATCTGCACCCGGCGAGATGGGACACTATCTTCTCTAGCCACCAAATAAGGCCAAGCATCGTAGTTCTCTTGTCCTGACCGAGTGATACTGTCTGATCGGTAGGCTGTAGTCATGAACCAGTAAATTTGCTTGCACACGCGTGCGTTTGTACATAGGTGTACAATTGGGACATTCTATCTATTCATGTATATCCTTGCCTTACAGTGCTTCCCGTGCCTATCCGTAGCGAATATCTCCTATTAACAGTGATTCCCCTCGCCTGTGAGCGCGTAGGGACGATGTGAATAAGCCCATCCCAAAAGTCCACCGCCTTTCAAGCCCCAGATTGATCCTAGACGCCAACGTGCCCAGCCGCTTCCCCATTAATAAACACGTCATTACACTATAGTCCGGCTTTAGAAAAAAGACTTCAGTGATTCCTGCGTGCCGAAATTTCCCTGACAAAAGCTCCTTTTCGTCATTAACACATTTACGCCAAGAACTTCAGCCATTCGAGATGCCGTCCAAACTGTGCCTTCTCATTCATAGGTCTTGTGTTTACTACCGGTCTTCCACGGGTGAATCTCCAGCCTTCTTCTTTTTCTTTAGGTGCAGCATGGTAGAGTGTTGTTGTTGTCGTCGTCGTTGTCGTGGTACGGGAGGGGCGATTTTCGGTGACGCTGGTCGCGTGATATCGGGTTACCCTGCGTGGTTTTTTGGCGGGCCGCGATAATCGTACTTCGGATTCATCCATGACTGTTACGGTTGCTGGAGACCAATCATCGACAGACTTATTCGAGGGAGCCGGGTTCTAATGGTATTAGTAAAGTTTTCAGTGAGGGTAGACGGATGCGCACTTTGTTGCGGGCGTCCCGGTGTGCGGAAGAGTTGCTGCGCGCAATCTCTGCCACAATTGTTTTAGAGCTACTGGCTACGGGTGTAACCGCGCAGTTTGACATTGTGCCAGTTTCTCTTGCTGTAGGGTGATGTACGAAGCATGTAGCGTTGACAGTGATGGATGAGCGTCGAAGGAGACGTTGCGGGAGAGAGGGCAAGTGGCTTCCGATACGATTCCGCAGCTTTTTAGCCAGAGCTTTTCGCCTGTTGTTGGGACAGAAACGAGCGTGAAAGTGGTTGCGAGCGTCGGTTGTGCTCTTGCCGTGAGAGGTATCTGAATCGCAAGATTCCAACCAGCTATCGACATGAACTTTATCTTTTTCATCCCAACTAAACAATTACCCGCATCAGCAAGCAGTACAAATGAGATCCGAGGGACTAATGCTTTATGGTCTGGTGCAGGTTCCAGAGGTGGCTTACACTGGTAAATGGCTACAGCGTCCAATATCGTCCCCTCCCCTCGACGAAGCGCCGTGCTCAGCGTCATCGCGGCCATGCAGCAGCACGAAACGATGGGTCTGCTGCATTGATCGGGCGTACGATCGAAATGAGTTGTAGAAGTACATTCCGAATAAGAGAGAAAGCTGGCGCTCGCGAGTAAATAGTCGGTGGCTCAACGACGCTCGTCAGCTTCTGCACAAAAGCAAAGTTGGCGACTAGGTGGCGGTAGGGTGGTTGAGCAAGGCGGCGGACGATGTGGAGGATTAAAAGCAGGGCAGCAGTAGCTTGGAATCCAACGGATCACAGCCGCTCGGTTGAGTAGACGAGGGTTGACTGAGGCGCGCCCAAGCTCCTTTTTTTTCAGTCTTTTCTTCCACTCATTTGTTCTTCCTCATATCCCTCCCCACGCAACAACCCACGTCGAGGAAACCTCGACTACCTATCGTTTGGCCAGGGGATCCGGGTTGACATGACAGAGTGGGAGGGAATTAAGATGTGGGGTGATCAGGGGACCTGGCTACTCTTCCATACTGTCGCTCGCATGAGGATGGTCTTAGGGCAATCCATTCAGTTTAGTCGGGGCTCAGATGCAATAATCGACACACAGCAGCTTGCATCCGGGCCCCCCATCACCGCTCCACCCACTAATGACAACTGTCAATCTAACCCTTTTTTAGCTCAAGCGAAGTCAAGTGCGCGCCGATCTTCCCTAAATGATGCAAAGCTTCACCAGCCGGCCAACCAATCAACCAGGAATATAATTGCAGTGTATTGGCAGGAAAGTATAGGTTGCGTGCGAGCGTTGCATAACGGTCGGTACTTGTTGGGCTGTCGGGACAAAGAAATTCGACTCCGAGGCACCGCCATCATCCTGCAAGGCAATGAATCATACACAAACACCCGCCGGACTTCGAGACTGTCTGCGGATGAAGCAGGCAGACGAGATCCTGTCTCACCACCTCTGCATGTTTTCTGCCCACCTCATCCGGGCCCTCGGAGCGTGGAAAAACAAATTTAGCCCTCTCCTATTTTGCCCTTAATTTATCGAGAGGAGCTAGCGGGGAAATAGTGTCAAGTTCTACCTGAGAAGCAGGTAAAAAGGGAACTAAATTGAAAATGTTACCATTGGGTAACCCCCTTGCCCTGAGATGAATTACAAGTTACGACTCTTTCCGTTGCGGTCTTGATCACCGCAGAGTCGCTGGACCACAGAACCACCTCGAGGAGACTCTCAGACCGCGATAACCACTCTTTCAGACAGATGCGATCCGCCGGCCTCCGTGTCTCGTAACATGGAAAGAAGCGGCTATGACGGCGAGCCGGATAGCTCTATTGCCCGTCGTCCGGCCCGTCTCGGGGTAAATGTGAGATGGTGGTTGTCTCGAATCCGTGAAGTCTCGTCGTCATAGCCGCGATGTGTATTTAACCAGCGAAGCTACAACTGCAAATAACTTGCATCTGCTTCCTGTGGACTGTCTTGATCGACAGCTAAAGCGACTCGTGGTCCGTAGATAACTTTCAATGTAGATTATTAGTTTTGGCTAGATAAAACAACCCGAGCTACGATAGTAAGAACAGTGACTTCTCATGGTCTTATTTGCTATGAATAGGCTTTTGAGGGAGGATTGAGGTTGCGGCGGCGGCGGCTAACATCCAAGCATCCGCCTTATTACCCAAAGAAACAACCTTCCCAAGGATTCTATAATCAAGTACCCTTCGGTTACCGGCACCAAAGGTAAGATTGATCTAAGTCCTAAATGCAGATCCCACTCTCTTTGGCTTTTAATGCCAAGTAAATTATTTGCACAATCGATGAAGGCCTGCAAAATCACAGACTGAGTATTTGGGAGACGATGCCATGGTTCATTCCCTTGAAATCTCAGCAACATATTTTCTCCCTAAATTTGTGGCTACTCTGTGTGAATGGATATTATCACGCGATGCTTTCCTTTTAAAAATATCATCTGCCTCATCTCCCCTAACCAGTCGGCGCTTTGACCCCATGAAGCCCATTAACATACACGCACTGAGCACTATATACACCCATTACACCACTAAAACTGCTAGACAAGAACATGAAAATTTCTGTCGTGGGTAGAAGCGTGATGAGCTGGAGGATTTGCAGAGAAAGCGTTGGCCGATGAGATCGGTGCAAGTAACATCCACTGACACTATAAATACGAGTCATAGGTCCATGCGTCCGGTCTTCTAACGATCATGGCCTGAACCAGTCACTCGGCTGGAATATAGTGTGAGGGAGGTAAAGTCTTGCTGTAGCTTGGAGAGAGCGAGAAATCAACACATGACAAGATCAGACATCTTGAAGGGCTGTGATGCAGCAAGAAAACTGGAAAGATGGAGGCTCGTCCAGCTTATAAGCTAGGATTTCAAAGTCTGGAAGGCCTTATTCTGGCTGTTCGCATATCGTCTTCAGCGCTGTGCAGAAGCTTTCCAGTCCTACATGGTCTGCGTCGGCAGCTTCTCTGTGCGCTCGCCCTTGGCTCCATGCGCTTGGCGACGCAGCGAAAATGAGACATCCGCGCAGTGATACTCATGGCATAGTCGGTAAGAAATGGAGGCTGTTCTCATCTGAAATATTTTCTCTTCATGCTATGATATCCTAACACTACCCGGCCAGTTAGCGCAGCGTCAGAATGGTCGGACAAATACATCGCACGAGTGTCATGTCTCGGGCTAGTCCTAGAAATAGCAAAGAAATCAGGCTATATCGAAGGTTAATACTACACTGCTACACCCCACAAGCGGTCTCTGCCGTCTCCATCGCCATAAAGCATGAGAGATTTACCTCCATAAAGTGTGACCAGAGATTACCGCGCCACTTCTTCTTGTTAACTGGCCGACTCTCTAATTTGTCTCTAATTTGTCTCTGATTCACAGCTAGTTTACGCCGTTTCTTCCGGGTCATTCGTCTCATATCGTCATACCCACATTTCCCCTCGCTAAGTCTCCTGGGGCTCGTGTGCCTCAGGCAAAGTGTGCGCTGAAGTCACCTCTCCTTCTGCATCTCTTGCCCCAACTGACATTACCCGGCATCCGTGGTCTAACATATTGCCAACAAGACCTAGTCACCCCATTATCTCGGATCAATCGTTTCGCAAATCGATTTCGCAACGTGCAAGGACGAGGAATCCAAAGCGACCTCCATCCCTCAGCTTATTCTTCCGGTCTCATTAAGGCTCTACCGGGCTACTCCCATCACCTTCACTTACCCCAGATCACTCCAGCTTTGCTCGACCCGCTTGATGATCATAGGTGCAGACGGACATCCACCATCACTACGTCATTTTGATCAGCCACGTCGACAAATATGTGGGCACGAGACTCCTGCGACCATAATGTTTATACAGGTCACTCCTGACATTTACACCCCTACTCATCCGCACAGCCCACCACACCGAGGTCCTACCTAACTCATCACCGGCGCCATTGAGATTTTCGATGCTCACGCAGACACAGCCGCGTGGGGACATCAATGTCGAGCGTCATACGCTTCATTACAAGCTTGACTAATCATCAATAGCTCATTGAACTATGAGCGTTGCCATCTCTCATACAATGCTGTGCAGACAGGGTGTAGGTTGAGCCTCCTATAAATAAGTCTGAACTGATAGAGTTGCAACCCGGCTCATTATCCAGCCCTAGTTACTCGCACATTAGAGCACTTTTCTTCATCGAATGATAAACTGGCGTCGCACGAAGGGTCACAGGCCACACAAACATTTCTTGTCTAGGGCCAGTGCGTCTGCAAAACTCAATAGACCATTTGATAATTTCGAGTCGTTCGCGGAGTATAGCATAACGTTTGGACTGATCAGAGACAATGGTAGTCTCCCCACAATTGTTTCAAACCTTCATCGGTGTCAGAGAAGAGTGCTCAACCCTTAACTTAAATCCCTGGTGTGTGAGCTCGTCGTCTGAAATATTCACATCTGCGCGCTGGAAATTCGCATCATACATTTTCACGGGGAGCAAAGGATTTCGACACGCACATCATCTTCAATCTAGATCAGCAGTCACGGACTGCAACTTCAAATCTGAAAGAGCAATGATTCTTTTGTCAGGGACGGCTGGCCCCTGCTTCACGCCATTCGCCCGAATCTACTGGTATACACTTCATAAAAATTGCAAACAAGTGAGTAGCATATGAACATCACATAATGCATTATTTCCTGCAATGCATTTCTCGCATGAGTCGAGTAAATATCCGCGAGCAACATTTAGTGAGGTTTATGCTGTCAAATATTATCCATTCTGAAGATTGGTGATATATACGTATTTGCGTACGCAATGGGTCTCTCGATGATAAGATGATTCTTGTTCTTCTTGGATACAGGCGTGTCAGCCTTAAGGGCGACACGCCAACCTGCAACTAGACACGTGATTAACTATCAAACACTGTGATATGTCAGCTGACTTGAGCGCATCCCAAAAAAGAGTCGCGTCTAATTCCTCAATAATTTGCCTTGGATACCAATAATTCTAGCTGTCTCATGTTGTATGCCACCGAAAGATAACCAAGTATGTCTAGTGCACATGGAACAGTCGTTAGTTGTAAGACAAAACCCAATGAAATCGTCAGAATGTAATTGATAGAGGTACAGCACATGTGTAGTGTAGTAGACGGCATTTAATCTTGACGGGATGAGGGATAAGCACAGCGCGAACTAGTATAGATGATTTGAGGCGTATATAGGCTCAAAATGCAAGTGATGCTGTAGAGTCCTTGCATACAGGAAGAAATTAGTCATTCGTCAAGGAGATGGCGATTAAATCCATAGTTATCATAAAAATATTTTCCATGTCTATCTTATCAATAACCGGAACTACAGTACTATTCATCGCCGTGATGACAACTAAAATAGTGGAGGGTAAGACTGAACACCTGTACGCGGTGTCCTCTACAAACCTAGGAGTGAAATATTCTCTCAGAGCCGAGTCCAGTCAAATTCGCAATACCAAAGAGATTGGCCCACGAGGCAATTGTTCAAGATACTTCGCCTTGTCAATCTTTCACTCCCAACGACATAGACTTCTACCTAAGCCTCATAAAGCTTACAAGTACGACCTAATACATCCTCATTCCGATGGCTACATCTCTCATCGATTTTTCTCTGGCCTCAGCTGACCACCAAATACACGCCTACAATAAGATTGATACCCGTCGGAGGGCACAAATTATGATGCACAAACCTAAGAGATAGATTTTATTTGAGATGGATATTGAAGAGATGTGGACATGATGATGCCAACGTTGGATAAAATCTCGAGAGGGGCCAGGTTTAGAACTTTGAAACGAGTTTTACCAATTGAGCTTCGTGCGTGCCAAGGTTGGATGGTGCAGTGGTAACTTGTCTTGGCCCGTTTCCCAAGTAAGGTCTGGATAGATTGGACACTTATCTCATTCGACACAGTAGATCGCTGGTTCAAACCTGGTGAAACACAAACACAATTCTCGCGGTGAAAGCTTACATGGGCAATGAAGGCTTGCTTGAATAACCAAAGGTTCTGAAACATCCCTTTGGTGGGTACTCACGGAGGAGGGCCGACAGTGTAAGCGAACGTACCTTACAGTGGTACTTCCGAATGTCATCCATTTGAAAAAAAAGAATGTCATCCAGAGTATGAGTGTCTATAACGTCAAGAGTCATCCATCATTTAATCCTAGCACCGATCATGTGTTAAAGCTAGAAAGCTGAGTACATAATAAATGATATAAAAAACTGTTACAGGCTAGTGCCTGTAACACTCATAACCAGGGTTTATCCGGTTCATTAATCGAGAAGTCTTCGAGAATATGACTTGGCTGGATTAAGGAGTTGTGTAAAGGATAAATCATGCATAAATCCATACGCGACGCGCATATTGAGTAGACAAGCATGTAGTCTTCGTAGTACTTATTTCTTTATACAGAATATAATTAAATTTACGACACACTTTTTTGCGAATAGCTTATGTGAACAGTCCCTTCACTAAAACTTGTCCCAAAATCGTACTCATAGGCATACCTACCACCTGGCCGATCCTATCTTCTTCATGATAATTAGAAACCAATGCCCCGTCAAGTTCAAAGAATAAAGAGATAAACATCACTGAGAATCAGAGTACACCGCTAAAATTCGTTATAACGCGGAGGCCGAAAAGGACCGTCAGGCTGGAGCACGGCTCAGCTATCCAGTTTACACATTTTTATCAAGGGTACTGTGGCAGCACCTCCAAAAGTCTTTGCCCGTAAACATAAAAGTTTCTTTGACGCAACGAGGTCTATCCATCAGTGGCGCCATCCAGCGCACCCACTCTGGTCTGGGATTGACTCCTCCATCAATTACTCCTGATATGGCAAAATCTCTTTTGATAACAAAATACAGCAGTTTATCTTGTTTAAAACTTCAACTCTTGCTTACGGACAGCACTTGTGCTTTAGTGGCTTAATAGGTATCGCGCTCGAAATGGCTCGCCCATCAACAGTGCGGTATATCTTACAAACCTTCCATCATTCAGCACGCCTCGAACACTATAATTGCAAGAGACCACTCCTACGCGCGGGACGCCTTTAAAATTAGCAGTAGACGTCGCTATCACTGACGCAGCTTTTCAACTTGGCATGAATTAGCATCACGTCGATTTATTGAACGAATTCTGACTTTTCTCCACCAGAATTGGCTTTTTTGGTGTTCAACCAGCGTGGCTAGTAAAAATATTTTATCCTGTTGCTCTTTCGATCACGATTATTTCGGTTGCACTCAACAAATTGAGCTAGCGAATCACAATCTGGGCAAAATTTTAATGTTGAGATGAGTCCAGAGACGAGGCTCGTCCCATGACAAGTTTGCTTTGCCAGACGCAGTCGTCGCCTTACTCTGGCGAATGCACTGTACAGCCAAGCTTCCGATCATTCAAAAACCCTGAAGTCGAGATCCCGCACGCTGCTCCATTGAGCAGTGTAGACGCTATATCGTCTTTCGAACCACATTTGATTTTTTCACGCATCAGTTTGCTGTAAATGCTACTCAGCAGTAAATTTCGAAGCGGAAAATAAATTTGTCACGCGATATTGCAGCTGTGCTGAGCCAACCTGGCCCAACAATCGAGACGAATTGATAATGCCCATACGAACTGGCGCGGAAGCGAGGAAACGAATTACCGCTACTAAAAGGCAACTCGTAGCCCTGGCTCGGGCAAAGGCTACTTGTGAAAGGGCTGAGACTGAATACAGACTCATCTCAAGAAACGTGACGTACGGGCCAGTAAGTTTCGAAACCTTGAGCTCTGATGGACAAATATCAAGGCTAGAAGTCACCATTAGAGAGCCATTGATTGTTTCAGATCTTATTTTGAATAATGAGACGATTCTTTAGGAAAACAGTTGCAAACCCAAATTTCATTCAGGAGAAACCAAGAAAATACGTCGTTTGTGAGATATAATAGTAGAGGGAAGTATTTATTGAAGGGTGGTGATGTATATGGTCGTATACGCTTGTTATCTTCAACTGAATAGTTGTGACTGCTCGGGGCTTAGAATATACTTCAGTGATTATGGCAATAAATGTTATGGGATGCAAATGGTATCTTATTGTGTTGTCATGTTATGTTTCAGATTATCTACATGATAATTAACCGATCCCACATACTTCCAGATAGCGCCGTAGCTAGTCTCTTTTAGGAGTGATCTATGGGTGAGTGTAGCAATCGGTGGTATCTATTTTATCACTAACCTGTTAGCATTTCCCTGGCTCTGCACGCTACACTTCGTGGATGACAACCTACTACTAGAGTGAAAAGCGCATTCATAATAGTGTTAGCATGAGAAAGGTAATCGATCGAATTTTATCTAGTTCGCTTTGAGAGATCAAAATACTGCAGTTTGAAAATGGGAACGATTTCTTGCCACAAGCATATGTTGGTTGATTATATTACAGTTACATTAAAAGATGGTCATCCATCTCCTTCTCTTTGAGCGAAATCTTAGTGAGCGATTATTTAATTTGGTAAATTTATTAGGCGCAACGCTCTGAGGCCGGATATGAGGCTTGCTGGACGGCTGGGAAGGGGAGAGGGAATTGACAAATAGCCGAATCTGTCGAAGGCTAAGAATAACTACCGAAGAAGTTGGACAGGGCAATGTCTCGGGTCAAACAATGGGACTGTCCATATGTGCGTGGGTTGGCTGCTTCGGTCAGTGCTTGCATTCTGTCTTTAGAACTGCAGGCTATTCTATTCCTAGCGCATGTCTATTTTCGGAGGTCAAGAGATCAAGTCAATCATGATCAATGGATATATTCCTAGAATTCCGGGAGAAATAGGATTCAAGTTGTTTTTACTTAGTTATCTTTTACTTTAATTACATACACTGCGCCTGTCACAGGTCAGGCTCCCAATTACCTGGCACAATCAGATTTTGGAGCAGCGATGAAAGAGGGTCGATATCATTGGATCCTGACAAGTTACATAATTTGGGCCGAGGGCAAAGGATGGAGAGAGATCTGGGGGAACTTGGAATCTTTACATACAGTTGAGATAGATACTCGCTGTAGAAGAAAAAAACTTTCAAAATCCTGCCTGAGTCTATCCGACTCACATATTTGGATAAAGATTAATGCGACTACTAGAGTTCACAAACCAGAAGTAAGCGTCACTCTCAATCCAGAGGCCATCAGATCCAAGTAGATTACCTATTTCCTAAACAAGGCTCGAGTTCTTCTTGATTCGAATCCAGTCTTCAAGTCGTGCAAGGAAATGCTGCTGAGTCAGCTTAGTACTTTAATGCAAATTGACCACTCCCTCGATACTAAGCCTGCATCATTCTGAATACCATACCACTGTCGGTTGGCCTAAATGCTCGTAGACTTAGGGTTAGTTCCGTGCAAAACGAAAGGTGTAAAAGTGAG